AAAAACTTTTAAAGGTCACTTCTAGGGAGACAAGGATGGGAGGTTCATTCCAAGGGAGCTGGAAACCTAGAAGCTTCCCTCTGAAGGGAGTAAAGCTGGCCTAGGAGTCTTTAGTTGGGAGTGGCTACAACTTTAAGTATTTATTCCTGATCGCTGCAGCCCCGGGAAACCCCATCCTCCAAACCCCAACTGGGTTTTCCCAGCCCAGGTTTCTCCCACCCTCTGACACCAAAAGGGTCAGGTTGGGATTTCCCTTCTCAGCGATCATGAATCTCTGGGCCCTGCTTATGCCTTTAGTCTTACCCGTCTGAGTTGTTCCTTCTGACTGAGGAATCGGTAACCGTGACCCTTGTGACTTCTGTGTCTAGCCTTTGTGTGGTGAGCAGGTGGCTTGTTACAAAAATCTGCTTTCTTCTTTGATGTCTTAAAATGAGTTAAGACCCATCCTCCAATTCAGGTCAAACAGGTCCAGATGGCCAGAGCCTACCATGATTATTTGTTGTTATTGCTGAAAATACAGTTAAGTGTTTCTTCCAAACAGTGGAGTTCAGCTGCAGGTAGATCTGATTTTTTTCCTCCTTCTGCCCACCCCTCTTTTCCACTCAAAAGTCTCACTTCATGTGATCAGCACTTCCTGTGAAATCAAGGGATAGGTCAGAGAGGAGATGGGAACAGTAAGGACAGAGAGAAGGGTGTCCTAACGGCTGGAGCTAAAATCCACCTTGTATTAACACATAGGACTTACTTTTCTACCAAATATTCATTGAGTACCTATTTTATGCCCCGCACAGTGTGTACCACAGTGAGCAAAAACCAGATGTAATCCCCGCCATAGGGGAACTCAGTCCAGAAAGCTCCGCCCCACCAGGGGGCGGTGTCTCACCCTTTAATCTGTGGCCTTCCCCCTCAAGGCTGTCTTTGATCATATGTTCACCTTCCAATTGAAAACCTAAAACCCTACCCTCTTTTTCCTTCCTAAGGGGGAGAGGGATGTAGGAGAACACAACATGTTCTCTTTCCTTCAAATCTGCCCCACCTCAGATAAAAACAGAGAGGCTGGCTGGTTACTCAGTTCGTTAGAGCTCAGTGTTGATAACACCAAGGTCAAGGGTTTGGATCCTCCCAACGGCCAGCTACCTCCCACCCCCCAAAAAACCAAACAAAAAACAGACAAAAAAAAAAAAACCCAAATACATGGGAACACGTGACCCTGCCACTGCCTTTTTTCTGCTATTCTGTCAGAAACCACAGCAGACCAGAATCCTGTGTGTGACCAAATAACGAAGCCCAGACTTTTTTTTTTAAAGCAGCTAGTCTAGCTTTGAAAAAAACCTATTCTTCCCCCCATTTCAGCTGCTCTAAGGTTACCGTCCATATCTCAAGAATGGCCAGGATTTGTTGACTTCTACCTGAATATCTGTGTTGAGTGTGTTCATATTTGTTTTCTGCCTCTTATAAAATCCGTTCCACCTCAAGGGAAATTCCTTCACTAAAGAAACATGTATTTTCTTATTAAAACCCACAGGCGAGGAAACGAGACCACTTTTGTTCCTTCTAGAAGGTCTGGAGGACGTAGAGTTATTGAAAACGCGGATGGTTCTGAGGAGGAAATGGACACTCGAGATGCAGACTTCAATGGAACCAAAGCCAGTGAATAAAGAACTTTCTAGAGTTTTGCACCACAGCAAGGAAAAAGAAAAAAAAAAACACCAAAAAACAGAACAAAACCCAGCAGACTCTACTTAGCATTGTCTAAATCCATTTTCAAATTTCAAACATCACAGACACCCTTCACGATGAATATAAAAAACACGACCCTGTATTCAGGGTATAAATTTTAAGTTTTTATGATGTACCAGATGAGAAAAACCCAACAGAAAACACACACACACACCCTCTTGCTCTATCAACGAACTGTGCAGAGATGTTGAGTTTTTAGGAAAATACATCCACGGTAACCCATCACTGGCAACTTCGTTTACATGAAATGTGGAGAAAGTCACCAAAATGGGTGCCACTGGCCCCCACTCCCAACTCATTCCCTAACCATTGTACCCTTCCAACTTCTTGAGTAAGGAAATCCTTGCTTGAGAATTCTTTTCCCCCTCTCCTGTTTCCACACCTCAGACACTCATAGTTCACCAAGACCAAGTGCCTTCTGTAGTCACGAATGAAAAAGGAGACACTGCTCCAACAACTACGAGCAGGAATGTTACACTGTTTTATATGCACCCTGATTGTACTTCAGGACACCTACACTAATAAAAGGTTATAAATCGCTAGAACGTAGTCAGCTTTTCTGTTGAGATGTTTTCTACAAAGGAAAGGGGCGGGGGCAGGGGAGGAGAGTCGGGTTCTCACTCAGTCCTCCCAATGACCCTACGAAGTCAGAGCTGTTATTTCATAAATGGGGAAACTGAGGCCTAGGGAGGTCAAATAAATTGCCTAAAATAAATTGTAAAAGCAGAGACGCAGAGTGGGACTGTCTGAGGGGGGCTTCTTCACCCCAGGCACAGGCAGCTCAAGGGTTGATGGGGAGTAAGGTATGTGTGGTTGGCAAAGCACTGCCCCCTGCCCTTGAACATGACTCTGAAGAACATCTTTATCAATCAAAATCGATGCATACAGAATATGGGAAATACAAGATTTCCTTGATTTTTTTAAGTTAAAACACAAGATTTTGCCCAGTAGGGAAGACTAATAAGCAAACTTTCTACAAGGGCTGGATAGTAAATAGCTTAGCTTTTGCAGGCTACATAGGGTCTCTGTAGCACATCCACCATTTTTTTTTTTTTTAAACAATCCTGAAAAACATAAAAAATTCTTAGTGTGAGGGCTGTACAAAAACAGGCTATAGGCCTGTATTAGTCCATTTTCTGTCGCTTATAACAGAATACCTGAAACTGAGTAATTTATAAAGAAATTTATTTCTTACAGTTTTGGAGGCACATCTGGTGAGGGCCTTGTTCTTGGTGGGGACTCTCTGCATTTTCAAGATGGCACAGGATATCTATCCCATGGCAAGAGGACTGAGAACCCACCAATGTGCTACTTTCTGTCCTTATAAATCAGCTAGTGCCACCCCTGTGATAACCCACTCATCCAGGAAACCATTCATCTAAGTGTGAAGTAACCCATTCATGAGGGCAGAGCTTTCGTGATCCAGTCACCTTCTAAAGTCCCCACCTCTCAACACTGCCACATTGAGATCAAGCTTCCACATGAGCTTTGGAGGGGACAGACATTCAGACCACAGCAGGGACCTTTCCTTCTTCAGCTTGAGTGTTTCGGACAGACGCCTTGCAAAGATTCTATTCAACCCCAACTACTCCACATACCAACTCGGGGATAAAACAGATTGGAGAAGAGAGGAAATAGGGAAACTAAAAGGACTCACACATACAACCAAACATTAATATACCTTGAGCAATGCACAAACATATCTCAGATATGCTTCTGAGAAGCTGACTTGCATAGAAATTTTTAAAAAGCAGATTTTTTTCATATGTTGTTACTTGGTTAAAAAACAAAAGTTTTCCACCAACCCATGAGCAAACAGAGAAATACAAACATACAAAGAAGCATCTATTTACCACCACCACGAACGAGTTGAACATTAGTTTCTCCTGATTTTATTATTCTTGTAAAAAAATAAAAGTACATCTTTTACCGATCTAGGTTGAATGTGTTTCTGTGGTGACAAATCCACCACTGCAGCCTACTTCTCTGCTGAATTTAAGTAGCACTTGAAAAGTTCTGTTTCCAACTCGGGGATATTTTTGCCATTCTTCCAGGAAATAACATAGTAATGAAATGACGGTCGTTAAGCTGCATGCGTGTTCCTGAAATTAGTGTGCTGTTTTCACTTGTGTCTGAAAGCGTGAGACAGCAGTTCATAGCAAACAGTGACGAACAGAGGCGCCATTGAGTGTTGGAAATTCTGTGTTGGTTTCTTCGTCTGACAAGGAAACTTCTTTCTAGAAACAATCTCATGCTTGAATCTTATTTGAAGGTCACCCTGGTTATTTCATCATGGCTTTGAATGAAGTATTGTTCTTAGGGGTTGCATTACCAAGGCCACTCTACCCCAGTGACCCCTGGGGTCCTAGAGCAGAAATCACCCCCCCACCAAGGTGGGGGACTCAGGAAAACTAACAGTCGGGATTTACCTAAAGAGGATGCAGATTTTCCACTGACCCTGATTGACCTGAGAATTACTCCAACTCAAACACATCTCTAAAAACCTCAATGAAAGGCAGATTAAGAAGTCTCAGAGATACACTACCACAGTTTAAAAAAAAGGCATGAGCCTATTCTATTCTATACTCCTACGCGTGATTTCAGCACACGGTTAAAACACTGGGAGATTCTATTCTGAAAGATAACTCAAGCTGAGTGGGCTTGGATCTCATCTTTAAGGAGACTCCAGACATTAAAAAAAACCTCTTGAGACCAACCAAGACTCTTGGGTTAGCTCAAATGAGGGGTAGCCTCCTCACCCACACGTTAGAGCCTTTCCCAGAGGGCCCAGCCTGTCTCTGTCTCTGCAATGCACACACCTACAGTGAGGCTAGGGGTGATGAGATGTCATCTCATGGGGACAGACTCCAGGGGCCACAGGTAATGGCTTCAGTCTTGGCTTGGGCCACAGAACACAAAGTGAACGGTCCGGAAGTTATGCGCATGCCATGGAAAACGATTCTTAATTTCCTGCCATGTGTCTGGCCACAGACCCATCAAATGTATATGACTTGGTCCAGGGAGATGGTGGCACGTCTTAGAGAATTCCTGAATCAGGAAGCTGCACTGATTTTTCTTTAGGCAAGGACATGAAGCTGTCAGAGGTCAGATCTGTATTTTCCAATCGGGCAACTGGTTTCGGGAATCTAGTCTGGCTAGAATTTAGTGCCAGTTTCCTGAAAGATTCAACCAGATTTGAAGATAAAAACAGAAAATCTTCTGGGGCAAGCAGAGCAGTGTTTGAAGCTCAACTCCCCTAAGAGGGATTTATACAGGACGTTCTCACAGCGTGAGTGCAGGTCACGGAGTAAATGATAAAAACGACCCTCTCCTTGGCTACTCACCCAAACCAGAAGACACCACCCAATTCTGTCTCAAGGGAGGGGAGAATAGAATAGGCTTGCTGAAACAATCCCACAGTTTTAAAAAAAACAAAAGGCTATGGGTTGGTGATTAGCATTTCTGTCCTGGAGTAGATCGGTTCTGCTCACTACTGAGTGGTGTATCAAAAGGTACTGACCCTTTATCACCCAAAGGCACACTGGTGCTGTTCGGCCGTCTGTCGCTGCCCTCTCTGTTCCTGCTTCCCCGCCCTGAGGCTGGGCCACTTGTTCGGTTTGGGGACTGATCATACACGAAGTTCCGGCAGGATGCAAGTTTGGATTCCAGCGCCTGGAGAGAAACATGCTTTCATCTCTTGATTCAAGACAAGAATTCTTCTCTGTCTCACTGGAGCCCCTACAGAGAAAATAACCTAAAACAGGGGTTCTCAGACTGTTGTGTGATGGAATTCCAAGGTGGAGCCCTGGAGGAATCCAACGTATATCCAAGTCTTAGAACCACTCTCCTATAAAATACTTGGGAGTTTCCTGGGAAAAATCACTAACCCTACCTATTATCCAACTCTGCCTATAGGAAAGAGGAAGTCAGCTTTTGGAATCGTTCACTCTTTTGTTTACCTTGTTAAATATGCACAGAGAGGAAGGTGGTTCAAACAAGGACTTGGCCTTTCGGTAAAAAGATCCCTAGGAAACCGAAAGGGCACTGAGACCACCCCAGGCTTCTCTACATTTTAACTGTGCTAAACATTAAAATAGAGACCTGTTTATGTAACAGAAAACCAGACAACCAAAAGCAAAAACAAGAAATGAACTTCAACATTCTATTAAGTTATAGCTATGCATATACATATGTCCTACTTGATGACAAGCTTGGCAGGATTCCAATCATGTGCCCTTCCAGGTGTCATTTTTAAAAATAAAAGAAACAACTACAAAGAATACCTAATAAAAGAAATAGCTACAAAGGATACCTACATTATTGTTTAAGCACAAAAGAATCCCTCCCTGTAATGCACACAAAACCTGTAAGGTCAAGTTCTTTGCCCGTAAAAGAAACAACTACAAAGAATACCTAATAAAAGAAATAGCTACAAAGGATACCTACATTACTGTTTAAGCACAAAAGAATCCCTCCCTGTAATGCACACAAAACCTGTAAGGTCAAGTTCTTTGCCCTCGCCTGTCAATATTTTCTCTTAAACTCAATGAGAAACCAAAAAAAAGAGAAGGCAATTTTTAAATGCCCCTTGGTTTTTTTCAAATGAAGAATAAACCATTGACACCACCCTAATTTCCCAAATTGCCTGCAGGAAAAATGGCACGAGGGATCAAAGAGAAAACTGAGGTCCAGAGCTCAGGGTGTTTGCAGCAACACCTCCCACTGGAAGATCTACTGACTCCGCTCAGGGACGCTAAAGAACCACCACACCTAAAACTTACAGTCTCTACTAAAAAGGAAAGGACCTGGTAAGATTAACCCTCTCAAATACCCTGAAAGACAAGCAAGAAGGCACACCAAACCCCAGGACGGCGCAGTTTTACCCCGACTTTGCGCAGCAGGTCTCCCACAATGTTGAGGGCCGATATCCGGGCGGCAGGTGTGAGGGGCGTCCCACCAGTGGAGTCTTCCAGCCCTGGGTGTGCAAAGAGAAGCACACGTGACACATGCACCTGCCATCATAAGTCTGTGTACTAACAGCTGTACATTCGAAACCACGTGGGCAGGGGAGGGAGGCTGACGTCTTCCCTTTGAGTCTGGATCCTGCCCTATTTCATTCAGTAGTTAACTGTACTAACACACCCGGGGACCATTTGATAAGTCCTTATGATGACTATATCAAACATTTATTTTTACATGTTAGTCTTTTTAAACAAAACCAAAACATGTCCCCTTGAAATTCTGGGAATTCCATATAGTTAATTAATATTAATGGCAACTGTGATAAATGCAATTCATGTAGAGAGAGCAACACCCATCTACAAGGGTATACTCTACAGAGTCTCTCTCCTTCAAGTGGGGTCTGCAGACCAGTGACACCAGCATCACCCGGGCACTTGACAGACATGCAGAATCTCAGGCCCTGCCCCAGCCCCACTGACTGTGAGGTGAATTTTAACGAGATTCCCCAGGTGAGTCCATGTGCACATTATAGTGTGGAAAACTGCTCTAGACTGGGATTCTAGAAATCTCACCAGTTGCTTCATCCCCAGAATACAAGCTAAGGGATAAGGCAGCATATGGTAGTCCAAGCCCTGCAGCCAGCCTGTCTGGGTTAGAATCCCAACTCTGCCATTAACTTGCTGTGTGACTTAGCCAAGCTCCTTAACTCAGGGCCTCAGTCTTCACACCCACCCAATGAGAACAGCAATTGTATCATGGGTCTGCAGTGACAATTCAGTGAAGTCATATATGCAGAGCACTTTTAGCAGGGTGGCCAGCACATACAGAGCACTCGGTAATTACCTATTAGTGGTATCTGCTCGAAGTGGCCAGAGCCTCACAGTTCAGCAACCAGCAGAGGGGCTGGGTGAGAACTCAAATTTCCTGGTTTTTACCACACAACACAGGCCACACTGGGTCCAGTTCTAAATGGATGTATGCTGGACCTCTAAAATGCTTTTTAAATTTTTTCATTTGGTTACTAAAATTTCGGTCTAAGGAGATTTCATACTCAAAAAGAGGATTTCTGGCTTCTGGTAAGAATGGAAAAATCTGCTAATGCTGGGTCCACATTCTTTGTGGTAGAGCAGAGTGGCAGCTGCCTCCTCTGGATGGAATTACATTTTCCACTTTACCGCAGACTCCGCTACTCCCTATTGCCTCATGCCCAAGACTCTCCTTTCATTTATCTCAATGCTCTGCTGCTGTAAGCACCCCAGTTTGCTCCATGCTATATGGCCTGGTCCAAATCATCTCACCTAGGACCCACCCAGGTACTCACCCAGGAAAGCACTGTGGAACAAAGAAAATCCTGATTCCCAATCCCCTTACCACGTCTGAAAGTCCCTGGAGTGTTTAAACTAGAGCTCGTTCCTCGATGAGCTACAGGAGTAGATGGCATGGAGCCAGTGGCCTGCACAGCTGTGTCTGTCCTTTCAGTTTCCGAGCTGGGCATGGGGGTCCTGGGTTTCTCTTGTTTCTGCTGCACAGCCAATTCCTGCCGCAAGTCTGTGCCATGGAAAGAATTCAGATGTGTAAGTCCTTGCTTTGACGGGATGGGCGGGGGGAGGTTCGACAGTAGATGCTGGTCAGGAAAAAAGAATGACCAGGGTGACAAACTCTGGTGGAAACTCCAAAGGAAGTGAAACCCATAGGACCCTGCCAAGCAGGCGGGCAAAACTACAAAAATTTTTCTTTTCAGTCAAAAACAAGAAAAGGTTTAACATTAAAAAAAAAAACAAAAAACAATGGCAGTAACACACTAATGCTTTTATTGCTTTAAAACACTCCAACGTAGCAGTGTATATAGAATACTAAAGCAAAACTACAAAAATTTTTCTTTTCAGTCAAAAACAAGAAAAGGTTTAACATTAAAAAAAACAACAAAAAACAATGGCAGTAACACACTAATGCTTTTATTGCTTTAAAACACTCCAACGTAGCAGTGTATATAGAATACTAAATGAAAGAATGCTTTCCCAACCTATCCCCAAATGCCCTTCCTTGCTAATAAACAATCACTACAGCGTGTGGGAGATCTTTTCAATTCTTTTTCTCTGCATTTTTATACATTCCATTTATATGTATGTGTATATCTCCTGAGCATAAAATATGAATAATTTTTATTAAGCATAGAGGGAAGCATACAACACCTCCTGTCTCTGCCTTATACTCCCCCTTCGATGGTATGTCTTAGCAATCCTTGTGACTACATTTATATCTATACCTTGTTCATTTTAACAATTGTTTAACATTTCAAAAAATCAGTCAATGTAATTTATTTAACCACTTCATTACTGATGGGCATTTAGGAACAACTACTTTTCAAACTTAGGAGTTTTTCTTCTTAATCACCTATCTACTGGCTACACATGAGAAACCAAGTTATTGTTATTAACAATTAATTAGAATTTTAAAAAAGACCTCTTATGCACCCAGCTTGGATGATTCACTAATGAATGGTTCCTTACAGTTTGGAAGCCCTGGGATGGCCAACCTCTAAAGAGCAAATGCTGATAAGATTTCAGAATTCCAGGCCAAATGCTGCCATCAAATCACAAAAATAATAGGCTAGCTAGCAATTCCACCAACAGAAATTTCTCCCCACAAAACTCTTGTCCTCCTGAGCATCAAGCTCATTTGGCATGAATTACAGACCAGGAAGCATCTTTCCTGAAATGAAATCTGCTATCCAGAGGCAGAACCCCAAACAAGGGCTTAATCTGTGAACCCCAAAGCTATTTTTGTAAACACCCATGAGGGGTCTTCATGGGGTTGGACATCTGAAAATTCTTAGCATGGGGGCAGGGACCAAGGCAAGAGCCTGTCTGCTGTGGTCCCACATGTAGAACTAGAAGGCCTGTGTGCAGAGCAGGGTGCAGATCTCCAGTAAAGTCAATGCTGGGGAAGACTGTGGGACAAGATGTTCTCAGGTAAGGAGAGGGGAACACACTGGTGATGACGGACAGAATAAGGCCAAGCAAGGTCTCCTGACCTCTAGCTTCATCCTTCAGTCGCTGAACAGATTCCAGGAGATTCTCCTTCTCATCAAGTTCACTTTCCAGGAAGGCATTTCTTTCAATGGCTTGATTCAAGCGCTGCTCAAAGTCTTCCAGAGACATGATCGTGGCTCTGGGTAAGAGAAAAGCAAAAGTCATCCAAAAGAGCAAACAGTGGCATCCATCCAATGCCCACAGACCCAGGAGATGTGAAAGGTCAGATATACCTGGGCACAAGTCCCAGCACTGGACTTCCTAGATGCCACAGACCTGGGCAAGTCCCTTAACCTCTGGGACCTGGGCTCTTCACCTGCAGAAAGGGAATCATCATAGCTCATGAGGTGCACAAGGTTGTCCTCAGAATTACATAAAATCATGTCCATATAGCACTTAGTAATGAGCCAGGCCTTATTTATCAGGACTGCATGTTGCCGCCAGCGGTTTGAGAAGAACAGCATGCTCTATTTCCTCTTGGAATCTCATAAGACAAACTAGTGATCAGAACAGCCTACTAAAATGCATGCACAATTTAATAACAGGCATTTAAACAGGTTGAAGAGACTATTTTTCACCCAGTTACTTTGAAGTTAAAAAAGTCCAAAATGCCCAGCACCAGCCTAGCTGCCCTGGTAAGAGCCACTTCTTGTGAACAGTGTAGACCTTTCACCAGAACACAGTGATAAAGCCACAGAAGTGCTATAATAAAGAAATCTGTTTAACTATGAGCAAACTACCTTCTCTGTGCCTCGGTTTACTCATATGTAAAGCAACGATAGTAATAGTACCTCCACAGAGGGTGGTTTACTTAGGTGGCAAATAAAGAAATATACAAAGCACACAACACAGGTTCCATGCTTCAGTGCTCAGTAAATGTCAGCAGTTTTTATTACTGACCCTGTGTTTGTCCCCAGAAGACATTTAACGTCCTGTTAACTGTATCCCACAGTGGGTAAAGACTTGTTTGAAGTGGAACCCAGGAGTTAACACCCAGCTCCTCCACCTAAGACTAACTGGGTATCTTTGGGCAACTTACTCTTTCATCCTCAGGTCCTTCAACTACAAAATGAATATTAATTCATTCACTTATTTATTCAACCATGTCTAGATTGACTCATGTTAGCACCTATCCTCAAAATGTCTTTAGAAGTAGTGAATAGGATAAAGTTACCAAAAGTGCCTAATTAGAAACAATAAAGGGGTAATATTTAGGAGTACAATACTAGAATCAGTTAAAATGACCATAAGGCTGGAATGTCAAACAACAAAAAAGATAAAATATGCAGGAATTCATATAACAACAAAAACATAAGGCTTTACTGCAGGGCATTTGCAGAAATGCAGACCTACTGTCTTTATGAAGTGGAAGACCCAATATCAAAAAGAAATCAATCCTCTAGAAATTAATGATAAATTTAACACCATCCTAACAAAAATATGAATTTGTTTTTATTGGGGGAAGGAGGCACAAAGAAACTGATCTGAAAGATCACGTGATGAGGAAACAAGAATGGCCAGTAGATCTCTGAAGTCAATGGGGAACTAGCTCTATTAATATACTCTAAATATAAATATATGCTACACTAGATACAAAGAACATACTAGAACATACTATTAGATAGCCTCAATCATGAATAATAGCATGGTACTGATTATAAGAACAGACAGACCAGGGAAACCAAAGGTCCAGAAATAGACACAGATACATTTAAAGTAAATTAATAGTAAAGGTGGCAGCACAAATCATTGGTAAAAAGATGGAAGGTTCAATTCTGGTTTGGGGACCACTGGATAGTCACCCAGAAAAAGTAATGTTGGATTCATACCTCATACTGCACCCCAAGATAAATTCCAACTGGATCAGAAATTTAAACAAACTCAGTGTTTGGTCAAAATCTACTATTTGGCTTTGGAATTCCAGAGAACTGAAGACCGACTTTAGTGGCACTTCTGAACCTGTGTGGATCAATGATCATGTGACTGTATCAGTAACACCAGTAAGGAGTATCAGTCAGATTTATTGTTACCACTGAATATTTGCTTTCAAATAAAGGTCAGCATCCTTGCTGTAACCTGAGTGAAAATCGCTTTATGTACTTTATACGTTGAAACTCTGTTAACTGACGTATAAAAGCATATTTATTATAAGAATAAAATGCTGCAATAATTAATGACTGTGAAAGCTATTAATCTCATGTACAGTTATTCAGAATTTGTGTTAAATAGGGAAACAGATTTTCAGTACATATGAATATTAAGAGATACGTCTGTTAGACAACTAAGAATCTATCTTTTTTGAGCCAATAACAACACAGGGAAGGTAAAATCAGATTAAATCAATTTTGATCTCTGTAGAACTTTTTGCTGTCTTAGCACTCGCATGTTAAACAAAATAACCTTTAAGGAATGTATTTAATTTTTAGTTACTTCTGATTAGGCTCTGAGTCTTTCAAGGATATCCTCGCCTAACAACCTACAATTAAAAGTGGGTCATTTAATTTTACTGACGTATGCTGTAAGGACAGTGAGAGCATCAAACAGTGCTGAGAAATCATTGTTCTTGCAGTAGAGTGTTAAATTTTTCAAACATAACTATTAAATTTTCATAATAAAAGTATTATATTTTAAATTTTTTTTTTTTTTTAAAGATGATCAGTAAGGGGATCTTAACCCTTGACTTGGTGTTGTCAGCACCACGCTCAGCCAGTGAACTAACTGGCCATCCCTATATGGGATCCGAACCCGTGGCCTTGGTATTATCAGCACCACACTCTCCCGAGTGAGCCACAGGCTGGCCCTAAAGTTTTTTTAAAAATAAAACTTTCACTCTAGAAGTTTACTCATTCTATAATGGTGATTTGGGCTGCTATCTCATCTGACTTTAACACTCAAATTTTCAGCATTTCACCAAAATGTGAAATGTAACTCCAATGTATCTTTAGTTAATAGAGGGAGAGAGAAAAGAAAAGAAAAAAAAAACAATAAAAATATTAGAAGAAAACATAGGCTAAGAGCTTTATAAACCCTGGTGTACAGAAGGCCCTTCTATGAATGACTGATAAACTTGACTACATAAAAATCAAGTAACTTCTGCACAGTACAACATACAATAGACAAAGCTAGAAGACAAATGACAGACTCCAAATACCTTCAATTCATATCACAGACAAGTATGTAAAAATCTCCTAGAAATTATTAAAAACACAAACCCAACAATCCAACTTAAAAATAGGCAAAGATAAAAAGAGAGTTCACAGAGAAGGAAAGAAGACAGCTCTTAGGCTTATGATAAGGAACTTAGGTTGCTCATAATTCAGAAATACAACTATGAGCATTTTTCACCTTTGCTATTGGCAGAAATTTGAAGTTTGAAACTACTCTGTCAGCAAAGCTATTTGGAAAACAGGGAAGCACATACACAGCATTGGGAATGGAAACTGGTGCAACCAGATAAAGAACAACTAAGCAATACACGTCAGAGTCACATATGCATACGTTCCCTAACCCAGCAACTTCACTTCTGGGAATTTATTCTACAGATAGACATTTGTGCAAGGTTATTCATCACAGCAATGCTTATGACTGCAAAAGAACGAACATATAACAGATATCCACCCACAGGGGACCGGATAAATAATGATATCATACAATACAATACCAACCATACAATAGAATACTATGTATTGGGGAAAAAAAGAACAAGGAATGCTCTGTGTCCTAACATACAATGATCCTTCTCCAAGATCTATTGTTATGTGAAAGAGCAAGATGTATGATACTGTGTACAGAATGCCCTTTTGGGGGAAAAATGGGAGGGATAATAAGAATTTTTATTTGCTTAAATTGGCATTAAAAAAACTGTGCCTTTTCGTATATCGTTTTTGAACTGTGTGAATGTACTGCCTCTTTTTGGTAGACTGCATTACTGGACCCGATTCTTCACCCCTCCCTGCATCCACACCTTTGCCATGGCCTCACTGTGGGTGGAAAGTACTTTCCCACCCTGTGACTTAGGTTGGCCATGTGACTTGATTTGATCAATGATATATGAATAGACACGATGGCATGCCGTGGCTTGCCAGAAATCAAAATGTGGCTTTACATACTATAAAGCCACAGTAATTGAGTTATAATGGTATTAGTATAGTAATTCACAAACTGTACATTGGATCAAAATAGAGAATCCAGAGTTAGATCCCAGGATACATGAAAGGTTAACATATGACAGTTGAGTTCAATTCAGGACCAAAAAAAAAAAAAAAAGTTTAATAAATAGTGCTGGCATAACTGGCTATCCACCTGAAGACCATAAAATTGGACCCACATCTTATACTAGATATAAAAATAAATTTCAGATGATCAAGGCTTAAATGTAAAACAAACAATAAAAAATCTTACAAAAAAAGGGGGGAAAATACATGGGCAATCAAAGGATGAAGGAGACTCCCTTTGTGAATTCTGGAAACCTAGAAGCTATAAAAGGAGACATAATCGACATAAAAATGGGAAATATTTGTATGGGAAATGACACCATAGACAAAGTCAATACACAAAAGGTTATTCTGGAAAAATACTTTCAAAGCAGGACAAAAGATTAATAGCAGAAATATATGAAGAACTCTTACAAATTGACAAAAAAGGAGGTTCCACTTCTGGTAATGATAAGGTAGCTTGTAAAAGACCAAACCTCCTATAGATTACAACTATAAACTGTGTGTAAATTGTGAAAAACAATTATCTGAAGGCACTGGCAGAAACTGGAAAGGAGTCATTGCCTGGAAGAAGAAAACAGCAACAGGTGAATTTTGCATCTTTACAAGCTTTTTGCCTGAGGCTCCAGTGAAAGAAATCCAGCACCATGGAGGAGCCCCAAATTCTGCATATAAACTCTTTCTACATCTCCAGCTTACCCCCAAACCTTGCATGC